AAAAAAAAAAAAAAAAAAAAATCTACTACAAGGCCTAATTAGTTTTCTACTGCTGTGTATAACACCCATTATCATATCACATTTTCCATAGATCAGAAGCCTGACATTGTTCAACTGGTTCTTTGCTTTGGGTCTCACAAGTCCAAAAGCAACGTGTCATCTGTGCTGGGTTCTTATCTGCAAGCTCTGGAGAAGAATCTCCTTCCAAACTTATTCAGGTCAGTTCATAGAATTCCTATTTCCTTGCTTTCAGCAGGGGCTGCTGTTAGCTTCCAGATGCCACCCACATTCCTTGACATGTGGTCCTTTTCCATATTCAAGCCAGGGTTGTTATACTGAATGATTCCTGTGTTTCAAATCTGACTTCCTTTCTGCCCCCCACCACCAGAGAAAATTCTCTGCTTTTAGAAGACTCACCTGACTGGGTCAGGTCCCTCAGATAATCTCTGTATTTTATGGCAAACTGATTTGGTATTTTATTTGTATCTGCAAAATCATTTCACAGCAGTACCCAGATTAGTGTTTAATAAAATAATCTTGGGGAAGGGGGCCATCTTTAGAATTCTACCTAGCACAACACAAGACTTCATAATTGAAGTTGTCACAATGTTTCTTCATTGACTCATTAATTAATTATAAGCATGTTTTCAGTTTCCAGTTTCTTTTGGGCTTTATTTTAGTTGTTGATTTATAATTTTACTGCTGTGTGATCTGTATGTATTTGCTGAACCCCGCTTTCTAGTTTTATATGTGGTCAACTTTCATAAATAACTCATTTGTACTTGAAAAGAATATGTGTCCTCTAATTGTTAAGTGAAGAGTTCTACACTTGCATTTGAACTCCAACCTGTTAAATGGGTTATACATCTGTATATATATCCTTTTTTTTTTCTATTTGATCTATCAGTTTCAAAGAGAATTATGTTATGCTCTTCCATACTGACCCTTTTAATTTAAAGATGAGGAAGTTGAGGCCCAATAAAGTTAGGTGACTTGCCTCAGATCCTAGAGCTAATTAGGGGAGAGCTGGGGTAAGAACTCAGGTATTTTCTTTTTATTTATTTATTTTTTTCTTTTTTGAGACAAGGTCTCACTCTGTGACCCAGATTGGAGTGCAGTGGCACAATCTCAGCTTACCGCAACTTCTGCCAGCCAGGCTCAAGCGATCCTCCCACCCCAGCTCTCGAAAGTAGCTGGAACCAGAGGTGCTCCTTGCCATGTCTGGCTAATTTATTGTAGAGGTGGGGTTTTGCCATGTTCCCTAGGCTGGTCTCGAGCTCCTGAGCTCAAGAGATCTGCCCATCTCATCCTCCCAAAGTGCTGGGATTACAGGTATGAGCAACTACACCCAGCCAGACCTCAGGTATTTTTTTTAATATTGATATTTGGGATATTTACATGAAAAGGAAAACCTAGTAATTTTGTTCATTTCTCTTGTAATAATACTCCCTGCCAATTTGGTGTCATATTGGCCAGTAGAAGATGAGGGCTGCTCTCATTAGTCACAATTTGATCTTAGACTGATAACACAAGTTATTTAAGTCTATGGGAGAGTTATTTTTAATAGGTAAAGCACCTATCATGAACTCCCACAATACCCTCCACCCAATATCCCATCTAAATCAAAGAAAGCACCCTCAGCCAGCATGTCAATGGGACGAAATGATTCAGAAATACTAGTAGGACATCTCCTTCATTAATCTTTGACTTAGTTTATATTCTGATACAATATTGCTCCCATTTTTAGAACTTCCTTTGCAGAGAAAACACACATAAATATATTATTTTTAAGTATGTTTCAAGTACAGCCTGCCCAAATTTGGCCCTTCCTTTTTCATCATGGAAGGGCCAAATGACCAAACCTATAGCTTATCAGATTTCAGCTACCATGCATTATTATTGGCCATCTGCTGCCCCTTGCTTACTTGACCCCTCACCTCTGTGCCCTAAAAGGGGATTGTGTAAGGATAATAAACACTCACTTTCAGGCAGACCAGAGCCAGATATGCCCATACTTCAGCATTGTAGTTGTTCAATGCATTGGCTTCAGAGAGAGCATCCTCAGCCTCTGTGAGCTCGTCCAGCTTGACACAAAAAGGAGACACATGAGTTAGTTTAGCTGAAACCACTATGCCCTAATAATACTGGTGTACATGACCTATACCAATGGTTTTCAAATTTTTAGTATTTTTAGCATCAGAACTCTTTTCTTCAAATGCAATTTTATGTGGTGGTTCAATATATGAACCAATTAAAAATAGAACTGCTCTGATTAAAGAGCCAGGTTGGGGATTCTGGAGCCCTGCCTAGTAGGCTCTCAACTTATATCCCTTCCTTCCTTTCCTCTACAGCAGTCCCATCAGGACATCTATAAACCATGGAGCTTCAGGTGCAAGGTTGAAAATTCACAAGAATTCGCTCTCATGTGTGCATCATTCAGTGATGCCTCCATACACAGTGGGCTGCAACATACATTTATAGTTTTTTTCTTTACGTTGTGCATCCTTTTCTTGAGATAAAAGTCTTATTTGCCTGTTGAAATACTATTGTCCAGAAAGCTTTTTTCCCCCTAATATCAGTTATTAACAGCTCAATCCTGAGCAACCAATGCAATATTCAGAGACTCTAGGGTGCTCTCTGAGCTCTGGGCACATGGAAATTGTTATTGCTTCTTAAAACTGTGAGTTTGCTTTGTAAGACATTCCAAAAGGCTCTCCCTTCCCCAGTAGAGTACCTCTTCTCTTTTCTCTATCTTTTTTTTTTTTTTTTTTTTATTTTTGAGTTCTAATTCAATTACACTGTGGTCTGAGAGTCTGTTTGTTATGATTTCAGTTTTTTTTTTTTTTTTTTTTGAGACAGTGTCTCGCTATGTTGCTCAGGTTGGAGTGCAGTGGCACCATCTTGGCTCACTGCAACCTTTGCCTCCCAGGTTGATTCTTGTGCCTCAGCCTCCCAAGTAGCTAGAATTACAGGTGCCCACCACCACACCTGGCTAATTTTTGTATTTTTAGTAGGGATGGGGTTTCACCATGTTGGCCAGACTGGTCTCAAACTCCCGGCCTCAAGCAATCAGCCTGCCTCAGTGTCCCAAAGTGCTGGGATTACAGGCATGAGCCACTGTGCCCAGCCCAATTTTTCTGTTTTAAAATAATAATGGGTTTCTAGGACCAAGACAAGGTGGAGAATGGTCTTTCACCCACGCCCATACTTTGGCCCCCACTTTAAAGTCTCTGAGACATTAATTCACTATTTAATCAAGCTACATTTGCTGAGGATTTGCTCTGCGTCAGGCAGTATGGTAGATGGTGGGAGTAAAAAAATAATATCTTACAGTCTCAGCTACTCAGGAGGCTGAGGCAGGAGAATCAACCCAGCCTGGGAGGCAGGGATTGAAATGAGCCAAGATTGAGCCACCGCACACCAGCCTGGGTGACAGAGCAAGACCCTCTCAAATAAAGACATACATACATATATACATACATACATACATACATACATACAATACAATCCCTGCCTTCAAAGAGCTCATTGACAGATGTGTGAAAAATAAAACACAGGCCAAGTGAGGTAGCTCATGCCTGTAATCCCAGCACTTTGGGAGGCCAAGGTGGGCAGATCACCTGAGCTCAGGATATCAAGACCAGCCTGGCCAACATGCTGAAACCCTGTCTCTAATAAAAACACAAAAATTAGCTGGTCATGGTGGCACACACCTGTAATTCCAGCAACTCAGGAGGCTGAGGCAGGAGAATCGCTTGAACCCAGGAGGCAGAGGTTGCAGTGAGCTGAGACTGCATCACTGCACTCCAGCCAGGGTGACAGAGTGAGACTCTGTATCAAAAAACAAACAAACAAACAAAAACAGAGGAAAATCAAACACATAAATTGTTCTGTATAGAATAAATATTTCATGGTGGCTCACACCTGTAATCATAGTACTTAAGAAGGCCTAGGATAGCTTTTTGGTTTCTGAGTTGGTTGATTTGTTCATCATAGTCCCATTCACTAAAATAGGGAATACAGGAGAAGGTACTGGCTTAAGGAATGTAAGTACTTCAGGGATAAGGTAGGGTGTATTTTGAATATGTGCATTTTGAAGTATCTGGAGAACCATCAACAGAGCTGTTAATTGCAGTGTTTGATATAAGTGTCAGCCAGAGCTTGAAAAGTGTTATAAACTCAAGATTTAGAATTCATTCTGGCACAGTGACAGTTAAGACAACTGGGGTAGATGGTGCATCTTAGAGAGAACAAATAAGGTAACAAGAGAAAAGGACTGACTATAGAAACCAAGAGAAACCAACAACTAAGGTGAGGAAAAGATGAGAAGCCAGTAAAAAGTCTGAAAAAGGTGCCAGAGAGGAAGGTGCAGAACTCAAAGAATATGAGTGCAGTAATATTGAAGCCAAGGGAAGAAAGAGCTTCAAGAAGGAAGTGGTCAATAAGGTTAACTGCCACAGAGACTTCATCTAAGTGTCCACTGCACTTCGCCATTAGGATGTCATACGGGACTTCTGTTAGAGAAGTTTCAGCAGAGTGGCAAGGGTATGTGTCTAATTGCAATAAAATGAAGGGCAAATAGGACAGAGAAATGAACAAACAATTTACAAGAAATACCTAGATAATATTATTTCAACCTTAGGAACAAAAATGCAAATTAAGATACATATCAAATTGGCAAATCATAATGCCCATTGTTAATGAGGTAACAATAAAATGGGCTCTCACACTTTCTGACAGTATAAATCAGTATATAGACTTTCCAGAAGGCAAATTAACACTATAATTTAAAGACTAAAAATATTTCTACAATCTCTTAGAATGTATTCTAAGGAAATAATCAGAGTTAAATATAATGATTCATGTCCAAGAATGTTTATCTCAGCTTTATTTAGTTAGTTAGTTTTTATTTTTTAAAGACAAAGGTTGTATTAGTCTGTTTTCACACTGCTGATAAAGACATACCCAAGACTGGAAGAAAAAGAGGTTTAATTGGACTTACAATTCCACATGGCTGGGGAAGCCTCAGAATCCTGGTGGGAGGCAAAAGGCACTTCTTACATGGCAGAGGCAAGAGAGAATGAGGAAGAGGCAAAAATGGAAACCCCTGATAAACCTAACAGATCTCGTGAGACTTATTCACTATCACGAGAATAGCATGGGAAAGACTGGACCCCATTATTCAATTACCTCCGCCTGGGTCCCTCTCACAACACGTGGGAATTCTGGGAAATACAATTCAAGTTAAGATTTTGGTGAGGACACAGCCAAACCATGTCAGGGTCTCACTCCATTGCTCAGGCTGGAGTACAGTGACATGATCATGGCTCACTGTAGCCTCCACCTCCTCAGACTCAAGTGATCCTCTCACTTCAGCCTCCCCTGTAGCTGGAACCACAGCACATGCCACCACATTCAGCTAATTTTGTAACTTTTTTTGTAGAGACATGGTTTTGCCACATTGCCCAGGCTGCTCTTGAACTCCCGGCTCAAGCAGTCTGTCCACCTTGGCCTCCCAAAGTGCTGGGATTACAAATATGAGCCACCATGCTGAGCCTATCTCAGCTTTATTTATAATAGCTAACAACATACCCAATAATTGGTCTTATGGTATATCCACACATAGGTATGGTATGACTAAAACACTGATGGGAGAGGGTAAAGATTACTGGACATCCTAGTGGTAGTACTTAGCTAAATTATTTTTTTGTTTCTATCTCAATGAAATTTTTTTTTTTAACAACTCTCAAACAAATAGAAGCATGAGTTATACCAAATAGTTTGTATAGCTGGTTCTTGTACTTTTCACAATGCTGTCAAGTTTCTAACAGCTATAGATGTTTAACATCCTTTCTGGGAAGGTAGATCAGGGGGCACATAGCTTATGTATACATGACCTTATGTCCTGGTTGGCCTTGTATAATTTTAACAACATCTTTTTCATTCTCAGAAGGATGCTGGTTTGTATGATAAATTAAATGATCATCCTATTTATTTATCCATATATCAAAGAACACCATGTAGTCATTCCAATTCATGTTTATACTATTTGGTGCTGTAAGAAGATACCAACACTATATTGTTAAGTAGAAAAAAGACTACAAAGCAGTAAATATTTACAATTTTTACATTAAAATTGCTTTCATACATATGAAAAAAAATGGGAGGAAAATGCATTCAAATGTTAACAGTGGTTATCACCAACTTGTGGAGTTATGGATACTTAAATGTTTTCTTCATATTTTGTATCTATTTGTCTATTTTTAGAGATGAAGTCTTGCTCTGTCCCCCAGGCTGGAGTGCAGTTGTGCAATTGTGGGTCACTACAGCCTCTAACTTCTGTGTTCCCACCAAACAATCCTCCCATCTCAGTCTCCCAAGTATCTGGGACTACAAGCACATGCCACCATGCCTGGTTAATTTTTAATGTTTTTGTAGAGATGGGGTCTTGCTCTGTTGCCCAGATTGGTTTCTCTCAAACTCCTGGGCTCAAGAGATCCTTCTACCTCAGCCTCCCAAAGTGCTGGAATTACAGGTGTGAGCCACTGCTTCCAGCTTCCTCTAAATTTTCTATAATGAACATATACTATCTTTATGGTTGAAAAAAAGCAATGAGGGGCTAAGCACAGTGGTTCACACCTATAATCCCTGCACTTTGGGAGGCTGAGGCGGGCAGATCACTTGAGGTCAGGAGTTCAAAACCAGGCTGACTGACATGGTGAAACCCCATCTCTACTAAAAATACAAAATTAACCAGGCATAGTGGTGGGCACCTGTAATCCCAGCTACTCAGGAGGCTGAGGCAGAGGATCACTTGAACCCAGGAAGCAGAGGTTGCAGTGTGCTGAGGTGGCGCCACTGCAGCACTGCACTCTAGCCTGGGAGACAGAGTGAGACTCTATCTAANAAAAAAAAAAAAAAAAAAAAAAAAAAAGTAAAAAATGAGTGAGTAGATATTTAAAGAAAAGGAGAGGCATGGAATCAATAATATACCTGAAGAAATCAGGCAGGAACACGAGGATGTATGCCTCTTTGAAGATTGGAGGAAAGGAGGGAAGGTTAAGTAAAGAGATTTTAGGGGAAGCAGAGCAAAAGTTTCTACCAGAAGCTACAGTAACTCCTCCTGCATATCGAAGGGTCACAGTGATTAATAAGTGTCAATCAATTTCTTCAACTGACTTTAATAGATTCTCATCTCCCATATGACCTTTTTCTTACAGATAATGTCACAAAAGAGTGTCTATACCAAATACCATGAATTGTTTTTGTTACATAATTTCTTGGTTCAGGTTTTTGTGGGATTTTTTAAAGATCTTCTACTTTTCTAGCTAGTTAAGTGAACTGAAGTTCACTGAACACCTTTGAAGAACAACTTTTCATTACAGCAGACTGCCCTGATTTTTATTCCAGCGTCATCACAAACCCCCAGGATGCCTGCAAGGCCAAAGAATCAAGGCCAGCTGTATGCACAGGCCTACTCTCAAGCCTTCATCCTCTTACCCGATAGCAGGCGATTCCCAGTCCTAGCCAGGTAAGGCATGAAGGTGATCTCTTACAGGCTTGCATGTAGGTTTTCTTTGCCTTTTCATACTGCAGAAAGAAAGCATCACAAAGCTACTGTTCTAGAGGCTTCAAACCCCATATTGCTGGGATGATCATGGGATCTCTGATAGTTGTGCTCCAGAACAATCTAAGTTAAGCAAGTCCTTTAATTGTACTTTTACGTCTACCTTAAAGGAGCTATCGCAAGAAGATTGGTAAGAGGATATGGATAGATCACATGAAGGGCAGACTTTCACTTGGAAGTATTTCCAAAGACATTTATAGTCTCTGTAACAGTTGAGGCAAGGAGTTACACTGAAAGTTCTGGGTGACTATAATGATTATCTGAATTCTACCTAGACTTCATGGATTACCTTCTTTCACTTTAATGTAACATAATATGGTGGCATGACAGACATGCAATCTCTGAACTAAAAGGTATACTTGATACAGCCTCATTATTCTGGAAATCTATTCCCTTTGTTGTAATAGGTCTTAGGATTTTAGAAAAACTCAAAAAACAAACTTTCAAAAGACATAGCCCTGAAGGGACAATTTCTTGTCCTTTATCTCCAAGACAAGACGTATCTATAGCAGAGCCGCAGCAAACACCTTAAGAGCTGCTTGCCCAGGGACTGCCTAAGTCAGCAGCGCTCTGAAGATGCAGCTTTCAGTGACATCAGAAAGAAAATTTTTCCTTATATATTTCACTACAATGGGACAGGGAATTCTCTCAAGCCTATATGAGCCTTCCTGAGTGGCGCCACCTCAGCTTACTGCAATGTCACTCACATTATATGGCATTGCAATTTCTTGTTGCTGTTGTTTTATATTAAATGAAAAGACAACTGGGTGTTCTGAGGGGAAAAAACAGAATAAAGTCAAAACAAAAGCAAGTGAGTCAAAAGGCCTTTGGCAGAATGTTGATAATTGTTAAAATGAGACAATGGATCCATGGTAGTTCATTTTACTATTCTGTTTGCTTTGCATGTATTGAAA